TCACTGAGATTATTAAACGTACCCTGGTAAATATAATGACACCAGACGATCTCATGGACCCTCTTCATATGAATCAAATTTAGATCTTTGCACCTAATTAACATCTCTCGGGGTTGCATAGCGACCACCTGCCCTGCCACAAACAGCTAAATGCTCTTAATGCTTTCTTCTAATTCTACTCATTTCACTTCATTGCTATTTATTTATTTGTTTTTAACTTTGGAACCCTTTTGGTTCAATGATATTTTTATATTTTAATATTCTGGAAGCCTGTTGGTTCAATATCAATGTTTTCAATGTTTTTAATGTTTACAATCTTTCACTTACTTGTTTACCCTCTTGGATCCAATGTTATATACTGTATTCTTTTTCAGATTGTTGTTGTTAGTAATATTCAAAGATACTTAAGAAATCATGTAATGCTATATCAAATTCGTTTCTATTCAAATCTAAGGCATACAAGTCATTGTCAACTAAAATTATAGGATGTCAACTAAAATTTAGGATAAGCATTAAATATTATTATATTTATTTATTATTCCTTTATTTTTTGTTTTATTATTTATGTTTATCATTGTAAATTCTCATCTTCTTTTGTTTTCAAACTGGAAATTGTTTTGTATCCTTTTGTTGATCAATAAATTTTCACCCCGGATGCCCCCGCTAGGGGGCGGGACGGGGCTGAGCTTTGAATATAGTTAAAATACGGAAAACTAGCTAATGGTACAAAATTTTCACATTTAAAGAAGATAAAAATAAAATAAAAATCTACATAATGCTTTATAAAAAGTTCATATGTTAAAATAGTAAAATCTGGAGAAATTATAAATAATTTATCAATCGATTCAAAATTTATTTTTAAAAAAGAGTAAAACAAAAGCAATCTTTGCTTTTTGGGCAGAAATCAGCTAAAAACAAATCTGTTGACTGGAAATTCCTTGATATTTTTCAATGAAATATTTAAAAAAGAAAAAAAGCCTTTCCGACCCGAACCAGCACAAAAACAAAGAAAGGCTACAGTTTTATCTCATTTTTGTTCATTTTTGTTCTCTCAACTTAGTTGCTTAGCAACGGGGTATTTCTCTCCTGTCAATTCCGCAGTTAGAGTATGGTTATATTAAATTTCTCCTCAAATTATGGCGATATTTTCTGGCCTCTTCTGGGATGGATGGCAAGTATATATAACTTCCCAGCACCCCAATTTTTAATCCAATTTCTCCGAAATTTTGTCTTCCTTCCTATTTGGAGGGTCAGGGATCCAAAAATGCAAACAAAAAAATGTTTATTCAGAAAAAAAGCGTTTCTTTGTCTGATTTTTAAATTCACTTAATAGTTAGCACTAATTAATTAGCATATTTGAAGTCACCCCAAAAAAATCATTAAGATTGCACTTAGTATGTGAAAATCCAATCATTAGAACTAAAGTTAGTCAAGGTTACATACATATTTTTTGCACACTATATATTTGAACTCTTCAAATTTACAGATTTTGGGCATTTTAATGCTTTTTGCTATGTCTGGGACATTTTTTGGAGAGACTCGGATACTTTTGGACATTTCGACGATTTTAAACACTATAACTTGCGTGTTCAGACCAAAATCTACATCCTGGTATTATTGCCTCTGATATTGAATAAGTCTTTTAATGTGATGCATGTTTCACAGCTGTTCCATCGCCTTCTTGAGGAGAATCCAAGTGCTGCAGAGAAAGTGATTGCAGTTCATGGTGATGTCAGTCAACCTAATTTAGGAATGAGTGATAAAGATTATGCCAAAGTTACTGAAGAAGTTACGATTGTCTTTCATATTGCAGCAGTTGTAAGTTTCACAAAACCTCTAAGGTAAAAATACAGAATTTTAAGTTTTTGTTTCCAATTAATAAAATATTTTTGTTTTAAATACAATAGACTAACAATAAACCATATTATTCGATACATTATTTGTCTCAGAATAAACCTACATGGATAAATTTGTGTTGATAGTAATACTAGAAAATCTTTAAATTTATATAACATAGGAGGCATAATAGAGTAGTTAAATTCATTCCCTCTTTAAATATTTTCTCAAAGGAATAATTTTACATAGTTCATTAACAAGTAAATATAACTCAAATAATAATAACAATAGCCTTGAAAATAAACATTTTTCTAAACACCGTTTCTAACACATTTCAGTAGAAGCTTTGAATTTCATTAAAATCCCTAAAAAACTTCTCGAAGCTGAGAATAAATATATGATTATTAATGAATCCATTTATCCATACGGTGTGAACAGCAATTTCAGTTTTAAATCTTATAACAGTAATGAGTGTATTTCAAATTTTTTAAACTTAGTTGAAGACCTATCTGGATATAGGTTTAAAAATAATTATAAGCGCAAAAATATACCCAAACCAGACTATTTAATTTTAGGTTCTACTAATAAAATTGTTAATAATCTTAACTTAAATACAATTCTTATTAAAAATAAAAGCCTTCTTCCTATTCAATCAAATTGTAAACCCACTTTAAGAAATACAAAAAGTCTAAAAAATTTAATTTGCAATTATAAGGATTTGGCTACAGATAATTTGAATTATCTTTGTAATTGTACTGTATGTAAAGATACTTCTTTTTTTGAAATCTTCCATAATCATGTTGTTACCGGAGATTTAGATATTATTGATAATGATAAAATTGAAAAACCTTTGTCTTTAGGTTATAAAATTAGACCCTCTTTTTCAACTTCTTAAAATAAGGTTATTTCTATTTTTTATAAAATTCTTGATGAGTATATTTTAAAATTATCTTACAGATATAATTTTTCAATTGAAATTTTTTTTTGAATGGAGAGAAAATATCAGTAAAGATTTTAAAATTAGCATAAAAATGAACAAATTAGTTTTTCATAAAGATTTAAATTTTAACTCTGTACTAAAATTATATATATTAAAATATTAAAAGAATTCAAAAATAAATTTTTTATTACCACTGTTGATAAAGCTAGTAATAATTTTGTTAATTTTTGATAACTTTTTTCCAATGAACTTATCAGCAATATAACACACAAAAAAAAAGACTCAACACAAGCAGTGCTATTATTATTAATAAAGTAAATGCAGTTTATAAAAGACTCAAGATTAAACCAAATAATATTAACTATTTTCCTCCTTTTTTTGATAATTCAAAATTCCGTAAAAAAACTCAAAAAATTAAAAATTTATTGCTAGTGGCGTTAATAGTAACATGAAAAAGTCGGGATTTACTTTGAAAATATTCTTAAAAAAGTACACAATAAAATTAATAAGCATACTAAAAATAATAATCACCTAAATTGGAATATTGAAAATAGTGTACAGGTTTTAAATACATTAAAAACTTTAAATTATGTTAATTCTCTGCACTGTTTTGATTTCGAAAACATATATACTTTCCTTCCAACTAATAAAATTCCTGATGACCTTCTTCAAATTCATCTGGAAATTTCTAGTTCATATTAATCTCAACAACAATTATATATTATTTAATAACTGCCTTTTTCAACAAATTATATTAATAGTAACATGAAAAAGTCGGGATTTACTTTTAAAAAATTCTTAAAAAAGTACACAATAAAATTAATAAGCATACTAAAAATAATAATCACCTAAATTGGAATATTGAAAATAGGTTTCAGGTTTTAAATGCATTAAAAACTTTAAATTATGTTAATTCTCTACACTGTTTTGATTTCGAAAACATATATACTTTCCTTTCAACTTATAAAATTCTTGATGACCTTCTTTAAATTCATCTGGAAATTTCCAGTTCATATTAATCTCAACAACAATAATATATTATTTAATGACTGCCTTTTTCTACAAATTAATGGCATCGCCATGGGAAATAATTTTAGTACTATTATTTGCAATATTTTTCTTTTTCTTCAAGAATATAGATTTGTGAAATCATATGCTAATCTTCCTATTAATTAATTCTTTCTCAGATTAATTGATGATCTTTTAATTATTAATTTTAATGATTTTGATATTTTAGCTAAACAAATATATCAAATTGAATTCATTCTAAATAAAACTAATAGTAGTAATTCTTGAGCAATTTTTTTAGATTTAACTCTTAATATTAATGAAGATAGTAAAATTACAAGTAAACTTTATGACAAAGAAATTATTTTAACTTTCCACTAAAAAAAGCATTGACTTTAATTCTTAATTTGCCAATAAGTTATTTTCCAATATTATTACCAACCATATTCATAGGTTTTATCGAAATTATTCAAACTATGAGGAGTTTTCAAAAGAAACTGATAAATTTAAAACAGATTTAATTAATATCCATTTTCCTAGTTCATTTCTTCAATTGCATTTCAAAAATATTTTAAACAACTTAGAACATTATTTTTTATAATTTAATTTTTTTTGTTTTCAGAATTAACTCTGATTTATTTTTAAGGTAAGAATTAACTATGATAAGCTATTCCTAAAGCCACTAGGTGGAATAGTTTTGAAGTGAGTACGAAATGCGGGTTTCTCTTAAAGCATATTTATTTCATGAACACAAACATCAATATAACATAAACTAAATTAAACATTATGGGTCGTCCTGCGACCAAGCTAGCTAGTGAAAAAGTTGAAAAGGTAAGTGGCTGTTCTTCCTCTGAAGGACAGAATATATATCACTAGGATCACAGGGTTGCTTTTACCTGAAGATCTTAAATCGCCAAGCTGGCGGTAAGACTGGTGAGAGTGGCGAGCACCGCACACTCCCCCCGCAGTGTATCACTTACTATACTTTTTTGGAAAACGCACAGTTCTTCCAAACCTATTTTTGGTCTCCCGCATTACAGGAGTACACGGTATTTCAAACTTTAGAGTCTTAGTTATTTCAGAAGGTTGTAATAATTCACTTTCAATGAAGGCAGGTTTCACACGATCTATGGAGATTGTCGACTTCCGACCTCTAATATCAACTTCAAAAGTTTTATCAGTTCTCTGAATCACTTTAAAAGGTCCATCGTAAGGGGCTTGCAAGGGTTTCTTCACAGCATCATTCCTAATGAAGACGTGACTACATTCTTTTAAGGCTGGATGCACAAACACTGACTTTGTAAAGTGGCTGGAAGCTGGAGATGGTCTGATAGTAGAGAAATGTTTCTTTAAATCCTCGACTAGTTGAATTGGGGACGAGTCCATTGTTGTTGAGTCAAAAAATTCTCCTGGAAGACGAAGTGTTGTCCCGTACACGAGCTCTGCTGATGATGACTGTAGATCTTCCTTATATGCTGCTCGAAAACCCAACAGGATAGCTGGTAAGGCGTCTGACCAATGGTCTGTACTGTAGGCCTTGAGTGCAGCTTTCAAGGGTCGGTGCAATTGTTCTATCATCCCATTACTTTGAGGATGGTAAGGTGAGGATCGAACTCTTTTGATGCCCAGAAGTTGTGCTAGCGCTTTGAAGAGTCTACTTTCGAACTGGCGACCCTGGTCGGTCGTTATCACTGAAGGTGATCCAAAGCGAGCAATCCAGGTTTTGAAGAAAGCTTCCGCTACTGTCTCCGCTGTAATGTCAGGAATTGGAACAGCTTCCACCCATCTAGTGTATCTGTCGATCATTGTCAAGCAGTATGAAAATCCTTTAGATGGTGGTAATGGGCCAACGATATCAAGATGTATATGGTCAAAGCGTTTGGACTGTATTGGAAAATTAAAAATAGGCGATTTAGTATGCCTTATTATTTTAGATTTCTGGCATGGAATGCAGTGTCTAGACCACATATTACAATCTCTATTCAAATTAGGCCAAATAAATCTATTACTAATCAATTTATTAGTTGCTTTTATTCCTGGGTGTGATAAGTTATGAATAGTATCAAATATTTGTTTACGAAATTGTTTTGGAATAAAAGGTCTAACGTTTTTAGTAGAAATATCACAATATAAAATAGTGTTCGAATCTGGCATATTTACTTTTTTTAAATCCAAACTTTGAGAATTTTTGATTAAATAGTTCAATTCTTTGTCATTTTCCTGAGCTTTTGCAATTTCGCTGTAATCTATAGGATTTGGCATATTTATAGATGCTATTCTTGATAACGCATCTGCAGTTATATTGTCAGAACCATTTAGGTGTCTTAGATCTGTTGTAAACTGCGATATAAAATCTAATTGACGAGCTTGACGTGGTGAAAATTTATCTAACTTTTGCTTAAATGCATAGGTGAGTGGTTTGTGATCTGTGAACAAAACGAAATTTCGTGCTTCGAGCATATACCTGAATTGTTTGATTGAAGCGTATGCAGCAAGCAACTCCCTATCATATGCGCTATAGCGTTTTTCAGTTTCGGATAACTTGCGCGAAAAAAATGCTAACGGCTGAAGATGTTCATTTTCTGTTTGAAATAATGCTCCCCCAATAGCAAAATCCGAGGTATCTACTTGCAGTACTAAATTTGCATCGGGGCTAAGATGAGCAAGCAGCGTAGCGTTCGCTAAAAGAGTTTTGCAGTTTTGGAATTCGCTTATTGCTTGTTCTGACCAGTTAATCATACGATTATCATTGCGCTTTGAGCCTTTTAAAAAATCGTTTAAATGAGTTTGGTTATGAGCTGCGCGAGGTAGAAAATAACGAAAAAAATTTAGAAGTCCGAGAAATCTTCTCAATTCCTTAATTGTTTTTGGTTGTGGGTAATTTAAAATAGGGTCTACTTTATTGGGTAATGATTTGGTGCCATCCTTAGTTATTAAGTGGCCTAAAAATGAAATCTCTGGCACACCAAACAGACATTTTGATACATTTACCGTTAAACCGTATTCATTTAATTTTTGAAACACGGTTTGAACATGCATTTTATGCTGTTCTTCTGATTCACTAAAAATAAGGATATCATCGAGGTAAACATAGCAAAAAGGCAAATCTCCCAGAATTTCATTCATGAACCTCTGAAAAGTTTGCGCGGCTCCACATAGACCGAAATTTAAGAAAGGAAACTCAAAAAGCCCAAAAGGCGTACACACAGCAGTTTTTTGTATGTCATCTGGATGTACTGGGATATGAAAATAAGCACGGACTATATCAATCTTAGAAAAAATATTTTTGTTATTCAGCGCGTGTGTGAAATCTTGTATATGGGGAATAGGGTACCGATCCGGAGTTGTCACGGCGTTTAATTTCCTAGTCTCCAACTGGTCTAATACTTCCCTAGCTTTTAGTAACGGCATGGAGTGGAGACGACCATGGTGACTTCGAAGACCGGCAAATACCCTGCTCTAACATAAACTGAAATTCTTGTTTTACAACATCGTATATTTTTGGACTTAATCGCCTAGGTTTATTGTGTATAGGCGGACCAGTTGTATCGATGTAATGCACAGTATTATGACACGCCTGCTTCATTTTTGGTGTTAATTTAGTTAATTCCGGAAAATTTGATAATAATTTATGATAATATGTGTCACCTGAAATTAATTTTACTGAAAAAACATTAGTTTTGGCAGTTATGCCCAATAAAGAAAGATTAGTGACACCATCAATTAATTTACGACGTTTTAGGTCTATCAACAGTCCAAAGTGCTCTAAAAGATCTGCTCCTATAATTGGAATAGGCACCGTAGCAACTAAAAATTTTCCATTTAAAGTCTCTTCGTAATCCTAAATTAATGTTTAATAATTTACTTCCGTAGGTAAAAATTTTTGAATTATTAGCTGCAGTTAACTGTAAGGGACCAGGATGTAAATTTTGAATCATTTTTGGGACGGGCAAGCAGCTCACATCTGAACCTGAATCCACTAAAAATTTTAAATGAGTTTTTTTATCATATACAAATAAGCGACACGAACGTACGGCTGTCGGATCTTTTGTCGCTGTAATAGCGACAGCCGGTTTTAGTTTCCCTGGTTATTGTTGTATGAACACGGTGAACAACATTTTCTAGCTTGTTGACCGAATTTCGAATGATAAAAACAGATTTCAGACGATCTTTTCCGATCCCTAGAGCTAGATGTATATCTACGAAAATTATTATATCTTGTTCGAGAACGATTGCGTGATCTCTCGCGAGAAAATTTTTCAACTTGCTGGCTAAGTGCAGCTATTTGCTGGCGAAGTGCACATACTTCCTGATATAGCGGGTTCGATGTTGACGGATTTTCTCGTGTTTTTGCTGAGAGTAAGGGATTCGAACTCGTGGCGTTATTCGTTGCACAAACATTTGGAAGGGAATCCGTTCTAACTTCGGCTATTTTATCCGCTAGCTTAGCTAAATTTTCTAGCGACTCTGAGCTAACGGAAAGAATTGTTTGTATCTCTGATGGTAAACGCTGCAGCCATAAGGTTTTCAAAAAATCCTCATTTAAAGATGTACCTGCCAGCGTTTGCATTTTCCTCAATAAATGGGACGGTTTGTCGTCTCCTAATTGTAATTCAGAAAGAAGTTTACGGATTTGCTTACTTTCAGAGTCTGTAAATTCCGCGATAAGTCTTTCTTTAAGAGTATGGTATTTATTTGCAGTTGGAGGATTAAACAAAATATCTGAAACTGCTGATAAAGTCTCTGGGTCTATTGCTGCAATGATATTGTTATATTTAGTTTGGTCGTTAGTAATTCCTGATAAATCAAAATTGCTTTCTGCCTGAACAAACCAAAGTTTGATATTATTTCTCCATATTGGTGGTAGTTTAACAGCTATACGAGCAATTTGTGCTTCGGCAAGATTCTGCTCACCTTCATTTGGCATTTTGAACTTTAAATAGAAGCAAGTTTAAACAGCTAAAACTAATTCATGTATTAACGTAATTTGACAAGTATTTTAAGTTTAGAATTGACTAGTTACCTAAATATAAATACTACCACTGATAACTTAATGACTAAGAGGGAGAAATTGCATACCTAAACCAAGCGAATGACCATAAAAACATACTTGAATCGTCGCCAGCTAGCTTTGTAATGCCATAATTCATACAGTATAATCCAAGGGTTCTTCCATGAAAGTTGATTTTAGCATG